CTCAGCCAGTGAGCGGGAACCAGTCTGTATGTGGGATCCGAACCCTCGGGCGGGAGCGCCGCCGCGCTTCCCAAGCGGCGCACTTATCCAGTGCCCACCGGGCCGGCCCCAGAAGCTCAGAATTTCTGCACTGAAGATGGAGACTGGTATGGGAGGGCAAAATCCATCACTGAGAGAGAAAAAGATTGCCCAGGATTTCTCTGGATCTTTCTGGACTACTTTCAGACCAGCCACTTGGATTGCAGTGGACTTCCCCCTCTCTTAGGCCAATGTGTAAAAGAAGAGCTCACCAGAGTGGTCTGCAATGCAGATCCAGTAGCCAACTATGTACAGGAAGTAATGCAGGTAATTAGAATGAATCCTCCACTTAACATCCCTTCTGAGTCTCTGGAGATGCTTTTTGGAGCTGAATGGCCTAGGGGTATTCAGGGAACCTTACAAATTAAGAGATACTTGACTTGGGGACAAATAGTGATTTACGTGGCAGAAACCTGCAAGCTTTTCTTTGAAAGAGGCTATTCTCCCAAGGATGCTGCTGTGTTTGTCAGCACTATGAAAGAAGTGGAGCGTTATAAGTATAAGTTCTTGAGAGCAATGAGAAGAAAACTGTCGTGGAGGGCCGGCCTGTGGCTCACTCGGTAGAGTGCGGTGCTGATAACACCAAGGCCACGGGTTCGGATCCCATATAGGGATGGCCGGTTTGCTCACTGGGAGAGCGTGGTGCTGACAACACCAAGTCAAGGGTTAAGATCCCCTTACCGGTCATCTTTTTTTTTAAAAAAAAAAAGAAGAAAACTGTCGTGGAGCTCAATGATGCATGCGATATGTTGGGTGATCATATTGTATTAGATAGTGTCCAGCGATTCTCAGGCCTAGAGAGGAACATCGTGTTTGGGATCCATCCAAAGACAGTTGTGTCAGGTATATTACTCAATATTCTGGTCTGTCTGGCTTCCAGGGCAAAACAATGGCTATATATTCATTCTGCGGTATGGTGACTGTTAGAGAGAACTCTAGACCAAATGGGATGAAGCAATTGCTACGTAGATGTCTGCGGGTGAAAGTCTGTTTGCTATTGGCAGAAACTTTTCTTTTTGGTTCACAGGTCAGCTAGAGATTTGGGTAGAGATGACACACAGAATTTGGAACTCTCCCTCTCTAGTTCTCTCCTTTCAGGGCTTCCTCCCCCAACTCTTTCCAGTGGCTATTTTCACCTCAAATTCTGTCCCCTGACTCCTCTAGCCAGAAAGACAGTGGCTTTCTATAGGAGCTGTAGCCGCCCTGCACAACACAGACCTGTGTCCTGCACTCTGGGTAAAAGCCTTAAAAACAAGAAACTCATCTGTTGGCCTTTGTTTCTTCCAAGTCTCGACTTTTTTGTGTGTGCATGTGACTTCATGCAGTTTTTTGTTTTTTACAACTCGTCCAGAGTTTTTAGTTGTTATCTGCAGAAGGGTGATCTCTTTGGAGCATACCTGGCCATACCAGAAGCAGAACTTGTTTCCTGAATTCTTGACACTTCCTTTTGCTATATGGATTCAGGACTTCTGATAGAGTGGATCTCAATGAATTTGGCAGAACAAAGAGCACTAGATTTAATCCTTTAAAATAGTAATCTCCAATGTTTGTTCTCAGAATGGCCCAGACCAACCCTTAATTGTGAAAGTAAATATTAAATGTCACTTTACAGAGAAAATATAGGCCAAGAGAAAAACAAATACAGAGCTGTTTTCTCTGGCTTTCAGTGGGAGATAGTATTGAAAACCAAAATTTGTTTCTTTTTTTTTTTTTTAAAGATGACCGGTAAGGGGATCCTAACCCTTGACTTGGTGTTGTCAGCACCACGCTCCCCCAAGTGAGCTAACCGGCCATCCCTATATAGGATCCGAACCCGTGGCCTTGGTGTTATCAGCACTACACTCTCCCAAGTGAGCCACAGGCAGGCCCCAAAATTTGTTTCTAAACGTATGTATTACTCTTAAGGTGAACAGAACTAGGAAAGATACAGTGTTAAAAAATTAATGAGTTTATATTGCAGCTTCTCATTTTAGCTCTACTTATTGCTGCATAACTTATCTACTTAAGTTTTAAGCCACTCTTGAATTGTAATTTTTTACCCTTTACTTTCATAATTTGGTGGGCCATGTGGACAGAATGCTTCTAGTCCCCTTTTCCCCCAAATTCATATGTTAAAGCCCTAACCCACAGTGTGGAGACGGGGATGCTCAGGAATTAATTAAAATTAAATGAGGTCATAGGATGGGTCCCTAATGTGATAGGATTGGTGTCCTTGTAAGAAGAGATACCAGAGAGCTTGCTGGTACAAACAACAGGTCATGTGAGCACAGAGAGAGATGGTGGCCACCTACAAGCCAAGAGAAGAGGCCTTAGAATGAAACTCACCCTGCTGACACCTCGATCTTGGACTTTCCAGCCTCCAGAACTGTAAGAAATAAATTTCTGTTGTTTAAGCCACCCCGTCTGTGGTATTTTTTTTATTGCAACCTGGCAAGACTAATACAGCTATATGCTTATTCTTCTAACTAAAAACATTAATACTTAACAATGCTAATGCAATTACTTATTTGCTTTTTGGTCTATACAAAACATTCCAAACACTAATCTAAATAAGATCAATAAAATATTTGGATTACTAATGGAAAAATGTTATATGGCTTCCATTTATTAATAATCCTGTTCTGCTAATTTCCCTTAGTCTGTTTTCTGTTGCTTATAACAGAATATCTGCAATTGGGTAATTTATAAGAAAAGAAAGGCTGCAAAGTTCAAAGTCAAGAGGACACATCTGGTGAGGGCCTTCTTGGTGGGGACTCTCTGCAGAGTACTGAGTTAGCAAAGTGTATCACATGGTCAGAGATTAACAGCGTGCTCATGTGTTCTCTTCTTCTCCTTATAAAGCCACCTGTCTACTCCCATGATAATCCACTAACTCATTAATCCATAACCCATGAATCCATGAATCCATTAATCCATGAATAGCCTTCATTATATAATGACCTCTTAAAAGCCCCACATTTCAAATACCACAGTTGAATTTTCCACCCTCTTAACATTGTTATAATGAGGATTAAGTTTCAACATGAGCTTTGAAAGGTACAAACATTCAGACCATAGCACCCCCATATTGTAAATTTTGAATTTCTCTGCCTGTGTTTCACCTATCTGTATTTACTCATAGAATCCCAGCATCTGGCCTTGAAGTAGTAGGTTCTTCCAACTTCAGCACAATAAGGAAGAAAGTCTTTCTTCTTTCCTTCTGACTGCATTAAATCAGATACAACTCAGCATCAAAAAGCTGTCTTTGTAAATGCTATGTTTTAAATCTATAGCTACAGAAAGTAGATTAGCGGTTACCTAGGACATGGAGGTGGGCAGGGGCAGATTGGGGAGTGGCTGCTAATGAATAAGGGTTTCTTTTTGGGGGTGATGAAATGTGCTAAAATTAGATAGTGGTGATGGTTACACAAATCTGAACACACTAAAAACCGTTGCATTGTACACTTCAAATGGGTGAATTTTATAGTATGTAAAGTATATCTCAATGAAGCTGTAAAAATGCAAAATAAAAAAAATAACCCAGAACAATCTTTGTAAATATTGTTCCTAATAAATTAGTCTTATAAGACCCCTGGACTTTGGAGTTGTTGTATTGTCTATGAAAGTAACTCTTAAAAAGTCTATTCTGGGGCCGGCCCGGTGGCGCTCCCGCCAAGGGTTCGGATCCCACGTACAGACCGGTTCCCGCTCACTGGCTG